TATGAATAAAGGGTTGTATTAAGTGAAAGGCACATATAGCAATTGATGTCCGATATATGAGTACTGTGGTCAGATGAGTTAGCACGAAGAGAGTCAGTAGACCTGTAGGTAGACATAGCATTGGAAGAGAGGTATATGATGAATAGATGGTTGTATTAAGTTAAAGGCACTTGTATCAATTGATGTCCGACATATGAGTACTGTGGTCAGATGAGGTAGCACGAAGAGAGTCAGTAGACCTGTAGGTAGACATAGCATTGGAAGAGAGGTATGCGATTAATCAACGATTAAATGACGTTGTAGTCAGCTATCGCTACATATCCATATACTGTGTGATTATGAGATCATTTCCGGCTTACAATTGAATTTGATTGGACTATTGTGAGATGATGACACGCATATCACGCATATTGACACGCATAACAACGACCTCTTTAAACGCACATGCAAGGACCATGCGAAGGAGCATGTGTAAAGGCGAATGCCGATACGAACATACGACAAACCAGAGCCGAAGGTCTGATACATCGCACAAAGTATACGTCTATAGAAAAGGAAACGCACATCCCGATTCAATACGAAATTGGCAGATATTCGAGACATTTGGGTATAAAATCGGAGCAGGCGAGCTTATTGACACACAAAACCGGGCCAAAACAAACACCACCAAACATGCCTGGGAACACCAACGGTGTCGCCAAAATAGTCGAACATATTGCCGCTTTAGCCGCGTTCCGTCCGCCGGGAGTTGCGTCAAACTATAATCAATCGCGAATAGATAGATAGAGAGTGGGGGTGAGATCAGAGATGGGATTGGGATGCAGCCACAGGGTTAAATGTTTCAGGGTTTTAGAGTTTTAGGATTTAAACCAGGCGAGTTCCCACGACTGTTTTGTTTTTCTGCGTGCGCGATAGATGTCGAGTGTGCCCCGCATGCCTGGGTGGAGCAATCGCAATCGTACAGTTTCAGGGTTTCCCATGGCTTGGCTTGTAAACTATATCTCGTGGTTCCACAAAGGGAAAGAACCATTCCGAAAACAATACCCCCCGATGGTTGTGTGTGGGTTGGGGGGTGGGGGGTCTTACTCGATTTTTCAGTTGCGTACACCCCATTGCTCTTGTACATGACATACGATGACCTGTGATCCGTGCACAGCGGGGTTTTTACGAAACCCTAAACCCTAAAATAGCATCATTGACCGCGTGCGGAGGCTTGCGAAAGCCCATACGCAACGAATGCGCGCCTTGTCCCGATTTGGGTGAGGTATTAATCGCCCCTGTGTGTGTAATCACTATCTGTACCAACTCACCTGGTCATATATCCGACCTGTACGACCGACAGGGCTCATAATAAATAGAGTGCGCGCGTGTATGTTTGTTGTATATGTGTGCGTGGTTTCTATTTATATCAAATTACTTTGTCGTATTTTTAGTATCAGACTTGTACGACAGACAAGGCTCATAATCCATAGCGTGTGCGTGTACATGTCCGTTGTGTATGTGTGCCTAGCTTTTATTAGTATCAAATCACATTGTCCAATTTTTGGTATCAGGCCTGTCCAATTTATTAACGCCATCATAGCCTGTGCACGTGTATGTTTATTGTATGTGTGCGTGGTTTCTATGTTTCTTGAAATCACATTGTCGTATTTTTGGTATCAGACCTGTACGACAGACAAGGCTCACAATCAATAGCGTGTGCATGTGTATGCTCGTTGGGTATGTGTGCGTAACTTCTAATGGTATCTAATCATATTGTCGTATTTTTGGTATCAGGCCTGTCCAACGCACGAACGCCAACATAGAAAGCCTGTGCGAGTATATGTTTGTTGTATGTTTGTTGTATGTGTGTACGTAACCTCTATTTATATCAAATCATTGCTGTATTATTGGTATCAGACCTGTCCGAAAGGTAAAGCTTGTGATAAATAGCGTGTGTACGTACATGTTTGTTGTATAGGCGTACGTAACCACTGTTAGCATCAAATCACAGTGTCGTATTTTATGGTATCAACCAATCCCAACGAATTAACGCTATCATAAAAAGCCTGTGCGCGTGTGCGTGAAGATGCAAATAGACATTAAGGCTGACAACAATAAACCAATCCTAATACAGACCAGAACTATTGTCACATTGGGTATGTGCACACATGTATTTGCATTCACATTCTTCACGTGAGTTTAAACAGATTCGCATGACATGCTGACAATCCGGCACACAACATGCTATATACACCAGACAACACAGCATGCACAAGCTTCACAAGCTTACAACCTACATACCTTGGGATAAAACCATAACTTCAGCTTAGTGATTGCCTGATCAATATAACCCGGTCGATCTCGTGGGCCTCGGTCCACAGCATCCGCCATAGTCGCCAGTCTTCATCACACGCACGTATCTGCTAAAATATCGAGTTAACTGGAGTATGTATAAGATATATGGGATACCTCTCAATGACTCTATGTCGGTGTGTGTATCTAGAAATCATGATATGAATCTCTCAATGAGATAAGGATGATGTCTCCGTACCCAAGAAGGGAGGGGGTCCTCGAGGTAAATTTGCGTTGGAAGAGATTGTATTCGATAATATTAGTCAGCCAGTTGAAGTCCTAGTTACCACACCGTTCCTAACCAGTCGCTTATGCTCACGAATGTATCGTAGTGCACGTGTTTATAACATGCATACTTCAGGCACAGTCTCTCACTGGACCACTGCAGTGGTCGGCTCCCAGATCTACCCTATACTAGACTACTACTATACGCTATATTTACTTGCATCAGACTGTCAGTCGAATGGCTTTGACATAGGTTGCCAGGGTTTCAAGCCGTTCATAAAACCCTAGACCAGATTCGAGCCCTAATCATTATCAGGACCCACCAACGTCAAACTAGGACAGGACTCAGGACTCAGGACAAAATGTTGGATATCTGTGTGGGAGTGAATATCTGTATTTAAATAGTATTTACTGTACATAGTGCTGTACTACTATGTATGAGTCTGTGTCTCTGTGGTACATAAATACTCTTATTAGTCTTTTGTGATATTTAGGGGCCGCCCAAAGGCTACGTGTTTTTGTAAGATCAAAGGATATCGTCGTGCTCTTGTGTGATTGTAGGTTTCATGTACTATGGAGTGTGGACAGAATAAAACACCGCACACGAAATAGAAATGAAGGATTCAGCAAAAAAAAGTGTATATGACGTACAGATAAAAGCATAGCCTTCTGAATTTTATAAACAAAAGATTTATTCTCATTGTCTTTATTTATTTATAGCACGCATAGAGTACATAGCATATTCTCGTATGCTTGACGGATATGTAGCATTTCGTAGTGCGTTGTGTACATGATGATTGGTTATTGGTTCATCATATCGCTTGTCCTTGCATTTATTATCGGATCTTATTTTAGTCTAATTTGATTGTATATAGTATATAGGAGAGCTGGCGGTAGCAGTTGCGAGAGTGAAGGCTTCTCCACCAACGGTGTAGCTGAGTGCACGCACTCTAATGTATCTGTGCATAAGCACTCATACGTATTTGAGTAGTTACTTATACGTATTTGAGTAGTTACTGATACGTATTTGTGTAGGTACGTATCTGAGTCGGTACTATGTACTTGTACGTAAGTATCTGAGTAAATCGTTTGTTTTTGGTTTTGTTTTTGGGGTCAAGTCTGGGAGATTGCTCCCCAAATATGATAAGTCAGCTGGTCCTGAACCCCCTCACGCCCCCACCCTAAACTCTCCGTGACAGAAACCATACTGTATGATTATCTGCAGAAAACGTGATGTATGGTTATGGCTATGGGTAGATAACGTCTAAGTAGCAGACCCGACTGACTTGTACGTTGTGACGGGTGTAGTCTATCAGTGCTTGCTAGTATCTGGCAGTGCTGACGTGCTCGTTGATTGACGAGCAGTAGACGTTAAATGATAGCGTTTACGCCTATATGTGCAACTGTTTAACACAGTGGCACCTGGCAAACGGAACGCTTCGGAAGTCCCAGGATATATATATATATATACATATATATATGTGTGTGTATAGACCTGCAGCGATGGACATGAGGGATAGCTTGGCACAAACACTACAACATTTGGGTAGGTAAATGCAGGCTTAGCCTGAGGTGTATACCGGTATTGGTGTGCCTGTAGCAGAGATGTGTATTAGTGCTCTTATAGTTCATATCCCCATGCTTGTAGATTGCAAAGGCTGTGACTTGTACTGGTCCATGGTCTGAGCCATTCCGTATATAATGTGTAGTCTATATAGATCTTATATGTCTATCCCGGTTGATCTATGAAAACGCCTGTGTTGAACTGACCCCATTTTCTTGCTTAGGAATCGGAGACGACTGTACAGACGCAGGTGCACTAGGCCCTGGTCCACCGAGCACAGGTGCATTTGGCGGCGGTGGTTGCGGCAGATCCTCTGGGGCTTTCAGGAACATCTTAGCCGAACAGCGCTCTGATGAAAGACAAAGGTTTAAGATACCAGAATCATGATGTCAAAAGTCAAATATAGTGTAGGCACAATTGGTGTACATACACACGCACACACATACATACACACATGCATACACACACACACACATATATATATATATATACATACAAGCACATACACACATGCATACACACACATACGTGTACACATAGATACATATACACACACATACATACACCACACACAATATATATATATATATATATATATACATATATATATACATAAACACACATATACACACACATACACTCACGCACACACGCAGACACACACACATGCGCGCGCACACACTCTCTCACTTATATATAATGGCTAGGCATATTCATACACGAATACTCTTCCAAGATACACAAAATTAACGCGCGTGTTGTGCTAATTCTAGAACACAGCCACATACCTTCTAAATACGGTTGGACGGACTCCGGTACGTACTGTTTCAGCCGTTGCAGTGCCTCTGGCGTGCACGTGTTTGTGACCAGACCCTCTCCGTAGCCCATCTTCTGCAGAGTGGATACTTCGTCTTCCAGACCAAACCGTAGTCCTCTATACTTGAACCGATAGAAGGTGCTGTATGCATAAGGCAATTGGGAGGCGGTGAGTGCTTTCGTACAGGTTTCTGATGCGTTTTTATTGATACACGAACACTTCAAGACTAACACACAATACTCTTTAGCGGAAGAACGTAACTTGCTATATACGTAGTATATACACGCAATCCTCTTTAGCGGAAGAACGTAACTTGCTATATACGTAGTATATACACGCAATCCTCTTTACCGGAAAAACGTAACGTGCTATATACGTAGTATATACACGCAATCCTCTTTTCTGTAAAAACGTAACTTACTATATACGTACTATATATACCACGTCTGATTGGGAGGTGGGAGGGGGTTTGTGCCACTATACAACTCTCTTCTGTGTGTACTGTATGTCGTATGGCCAGTTGTGAACAGATTTATGTCTGGAACCCAAAGCGTAAATCACTCAACACAGAAGCCGTTGTTAGAATGTACACCATACACAGGGTCGTGGAAACGGTGCTAGTACAAAGATAGACGCATTTGCAGTGGACCACAAGCATCAGCTGATTAAAAAAAACATAGTTCAATACATACACAAAGAGAGACAAGGACCTTGACACCAAACAGCGTCTAAGCTTGTATAACAAACACAAAACACCTCAAAATAAAAACACAGAAAGACAAGAACCAACTACAGAAACCACCCCCACCCCTCACAAAAAATCCAGAAAACCATCAAATACCAATTACAGTAAAACCCAAAAACAAACAGAAAAAGAAATCCAAAAACAAACACAGAAAAAATTCGAAAACAAACACAGAAACCCCCAAAACAAACAGGAAATTTCAAAAACAAACATACAGGTCTTCATTCGAGGTCACCTCCACGTTGTGACCTATCGGAGACTGCATTAGTACAAACGGGATCTGCACCAAGGAAAGAGAGAATAGAAGCGTTAGCCTTGTAAGAACCAGTGGCACATATGTTTCATCTCACACTATATGCTATAGCAGTTTGTGTTAGGACAAAAAAAGTAAACCTCGAGGAAGAAGGGAATGAAAGCGTTAGCCTTATAAGAACCAGTGGTACATATGTTTCATCTCACACTATATGCTATAGCAGTTTGCGATAGGACAAACATAGTATACAACGAGGAAAAAGGGAATGAAAGCGTTAGCCTCATAATAACCAGTGGCACATATGCTTCAACTCACACTATATGCTATAGCAGTTTGTGTTAGGACAAACAGGGTATAATGGAAAGCGTTTGCCATAGAACCACGAGTCAATGTCTTTGAGTTTTGTGATTCTTCAGGATGTAGGGTGTGGGCAACTGTATACTGCCATGCACGAAGTAATTGTTCGATGAGCATGGAGAAGCTATTCCCTTTCTTTGCATACTTAGGATGGTTGCATGAGAACAAGACAGCAGCTACATTAGAAACAAAAGACAAAAGAATCAAAGGAATAACAATTGTGCCATACACCAATACCAGCCAGGAGCACTGACATTGGTAATCAGAGATTTTGCCATTAACAAGAATCAAAATTGTAAGTGGACAGCCTTATAGCCATAAACTCTACGGGTAGATTACAACAGCCGGAATTACATTAAAAACTGTGTGCATTAGATACAGCACGGAAAACATTCGAATGGCTGTACACACCCCAGCCACGACCTCATACATGGCCATGCACTCGAACACACACATTTACGTACACATACACATACATGCATACACGTACAGGTCCAGACACACATACAGGTACACAGACACGTATACACACACACCTATGCACAACAGCACATATTCCTCTGTGCGTTATCATGGCCGGCTGCCTTGAAAGTGGCTGTGGCCAAATGGCAGTCCAACCTGTGAGCCTACTATCTTAAGCTCCTCTCGATGTCCACAACAAACACAACCGTAGCTCCACACAAAACGATTATAATCTGGTACACACATACACAAACGCGCACGCACACACACGCACACACGCAACACACGTGTAGATATACTAGTACATACACATACACATACCCGCACGCGTACACACACATACCCCTAATTGTGGCGGTAACTTCTGGTCCTTGCCTTCCTCGTCTCCGCCGAGCGACTTGAGAGTGGCTTTGGGCAGTTTAGGTTCGAAGCCGTCGCTAGACTTTTCCTCTGCTTCCCTTTGCTTATTGTGTTCAAACACTTGGCTTAACATCACCTTCTGCAGTATCTTCTCATCTAGCGCTGCCTTTTTCTCTGCCAGTTGATGGGCTGACAAAACAGTGGGTTGTGGATGAGATACGGGTGAAAATAAACGAATATTGCACTGGGTATTTAGTTATACACCTTCACACTTTTAGAATATACTTAGAACAATCTATAACAATAAGTTACAGACAGACAAATACTTGTTTCATACCTCAAACCCGCACATACATATCGTTGTACTGGAATAGAATACAAGTCGATTATACCTAAAACCAACTCAATCAAAAGTTATCTTCATCATATATACCTCTCATGGCCTTATCCTCAATCAGTTTCTTCACAGTAACCTTAGAGTCTTGGGGGAACCCCTGCCACACTAGCAGTTTCCGTTGCCTGTCTATGATATGCAGTGCTTGCAGGATGTTCAGTGCGTCGTACACCCTCCGCCGGATATTTTTGTGATCAAACGGTTTCTGTATATGCGTGGGTGTATGATTATGTATATGTAAGAAAGAGTGTCGTATAAGGGTGTAAGCGTATGAATGTAGGCAAGTATCTATAACTATACGTTTAATATATATATATATATATATATAACACATACATACACACACATATATAGATATATATACATGTATATATATATATGTACATACATATACGCATACATATATACATACATACACACATTCTCACATTCATACATACATACATACATACATATATATATATTTATATATATATATATACAATTATACACATATACGCAACTCAACAATACCCCACAGTCGACCGGGCACATACCCTCCTACAGTTGTTCCCATCCGCCTCGTACTCGGCCTTCATTTCGTTGACCAGTTCATCCGACACCACCTGATACGTAGTGGTGCCTTTGATCTTCAGTTTCTCGCACACCTTTGCTGAGAAGTGTCTCAGCCCTTTGTTCAGCCGTCCCTCAGGTTTCACTGGCGTGCCCATACCGGGACCACCAGCCACCATACCGGGACGAGGCATACCTGCTGTGCCAGGCATGGGCCGCATATGTGGGCGTTGGTCCTGTATGTGAGGACATATTACGTATGGTTAATGGGAAATCTGTTTACGATATATGAATAGATAAAGTGTGGAGTGAATGGGAGAGTGTGACGTGTGGTGTACTTGACAAATGCTTTTGTAATAGTATACGATGTTCTTCAGGTTTTATAGGCGTGCCTATAGCCGGATCACCACCCACCATACCGGGACGAGGCATGCCTGGTGCAACAGGCACACACCGCATGTGTGGGCGTTGTCTTTAATGACGTCCGGTAGAAAGGTTGTAAAACGCACTTGTTGGATTACGCTTCCCTGAGGATATTATGAGGAAAGATAGTGTGTCTGGTGTGATGTACCGTAAGTGGCGATCCGAGGGATCTGTTGTGGACTGTTCACCTTCTGTGTAGAGCGAGGCCACGTACACACCCGAGGCTTCCGCATCAGTGCTTGTGAACGGTGCATGTGGGAGAATGGTTCAGTGGTGTTACCACGTGTACCTGTAGGCGTACAACACGTCCTTCAGGAGTTGAGGACTTGTTTATAGAGTGCATGGACGACTGCAGATGTAAGCCCGGGTATAAACACATACAGATACATACATGTACACTCATGGGCATACGGCCGTTTCTCATCATATACCCGTAGACTGTACCTGGATGTGAACAATAACACACAATCACGCGTGCACCTGCACCCACTTGAATAGGGCCATATCTGTCCATTGACACCGAAGCACAGTACATGAACATATATGAGAACACATGACCACGCATACATACACACGCAAGCATACATACACAAACACGCATACATACACCCACACGCATATCGTAAAACTCTCCTCACTAGAAAGATATCTACTACCATAGATAAAACCTATACACACACACAGATACATACACATGCAAACGCATACATACACACACACGCATACATATATACACACACACATACACACACACAGATACATACACACACACGAATACATACACACACACACACATACATACATACACATACATACATAAACACACACGCATACACACACACGCACACATACACACACACACACGCATACATGCACACACACGCATACATACACACACATACATACATACAAACAAATACATACACACACACGCATACACACATATATATACACACACACATACACACATACACATGCCTACAT